CCCCCCCCCGACCTGTCCCCGTCCCCTTCAGGGACTGCTGCTGATGTGTGCTGAGGAGATGACTCCGGAGCCCATGACAGACCGTGCCAGGAGCTGAGGGCAGTGCCCAGGCTGAGCTATCAGAAGGGCAGGGTGGTAGCTGTGCTGTGGAGGTTTTTTGAGTGACTGGAGTGGCTTGTTCAAAGTCAGGAAGACAATGACAGAGTTGGCTTCTAACTGGCTGAGCGTCTTACCTGCATGGTCACATGAAGCTTTACCAGCAACTTACCTGCCTTGTGTGGATGGGCAGAGAGGTGAAATGACAAGCCCAGGGTCACAGCTGGGAGTAGGAAAGCCGAGGTTTGGGCTCCATTAGGTCCCTGCTGACCAGTCATCCCTTCTACCACTTTACCCCTGTACCTGGCTCCCTACCTCTTGTATCTGGGACAGGAATTGGTTCAGTCTTGCTCACTCCATTCCCTCTGCCCTCCTCTGGCCCAGTGCCCGCCCAGGTGTCAGACTTCTTGGCACAGGTCACCACAGTAAATCCCTGTATCTGTGATGGCTCAGGGAGCCCCTTCATTTCCCTAATGTGGCTGGGGGCCACTGGCATGGGTTTGGAGCATGAACCATTTGACTGAGGCCGGACACCCCTCCACCACTGCCGAATGTTGCCGGTCAGCCGTGTATTCTATGGAAATACAGGGCCACCTGTGTCACCTGGCCTCCAGGAAGTTCTGGAGCTCCTGGGAGCTGGAGGAAGCGGCAGGGTGCAGACCCAGACCCCCCACTTTGTGGAGGCACATCTTCGCTATCATTAATCCATGCACCTATCTGTTGTTTTCTGTTCTCTGGGCAGACACCAGCATAGTGGGTTCCTCGCAGCAACCCCATGAGGTACATATGGTGATTCCCATTCTACAGAGAAGGAAACAGGCACAGGTGGCTTAGTGAACTTGCAATCCAGTTGGAGGTGCCAGCTGAGCCTTTTCTTGGAGCCACTAGTGCACTGCCCCCACCCCACCCTACCCCATCCCAGAGCACGGCACCTAGAGTCAGACCGGCCTGGGCTCCAATCCCAGCTTTAACCCCTTTCACCTGCCACTTGACCAACCAAGGCCTCAGCTTTGGCATTTTTCAGGAAACTGAGGATCACATTTTTCTTTTAATTTGTTGAGAATATACAAGGTAGAATGTAGACCAATTCAACAGTTCATACATGTACAATTCGGCGACATTAACTACATTCTTCAAGTTGTGATATCATTCCTTATCTGAGTTATTGCTCCCCTTTAACATAGTCACTGTCCCTTAAGATTTCTAATCATTTGAGTTGTTTACTTCACATTGATCCTGTAGATCGTTCGTAAAAGAGCACACTGCTCATAGCAGACCGGCAAGACATTAAAAAAAAAAAAAAAAAAAATGTTTTATTGTGAATTATGTGATAGTTTACATGGGAGAACATTAGCTTTACATTCATCCTCTCATATATCATTTCATTGCCATGGTTACAACAACAATCCCCTCCATGCATCATTAACCAACCAACAGGTATACCCTGCAAGCCTCCCACCCCCACCTCTGGCTCTAAAGTCCCCAGCTGCTCCCTCTCTCCATATCATGATCTCGGCCTCCATCTCTGGCATCACTGCTTCTCTGGGTAGGGTCCTGCATTCCACTTTTCTTCCTTGATGATCCCAGGGATCTCCGCTCCTAGATTGCAAAGTCAGTCACTCCCCTCCTTTTGTAACAAAACGTCTACCTTAACATTTCCAACCCTCAGTGTCCTGATAACCAGACATTCTTTACTGATGTACCTAAAGTTGTTTGGTTTTAAGAAGACATCAGAAAGTTGGATGGTAGGAAAATCTGAAATTCTGTTCAGCATTTCTTCCCCTTTTGATCCAGATTCTTCTATGGAATCTTTGATCAAAATACCCAGTAATGGTCTCGTGGCAGGAAAGGCAGTGCAAGGAGACAATTAGCCCCCCCCTCCATTCGAGCTCCTTTTGTTTTATGGGTTGGGTTATGTTCTTTCTATCCCTCTAGCTTACATAGACTCCCAGTGGGGCAGAGACAGACCCTAGATCATGCAGCAAATCTTGGTTTGTTCCACAGTTACCAGGTCTCTGTGATTTCACAGAGACCACCCCAGAGAGGCTGCTCCCCACAACTCTGGAGCTGCTAAGACATCATCAGCCTTCTGGGTAACTCGGAGAAACATTACTGAGCATAGAGCTCTCATTATGGCTCCTCCCTACTCCCAGTCACAGCTCATCTCAAGAAGAAAAAATGTACTTTGCAAACCCACCTTCCTCTAGGGCCTGCTCTGGCCCCTCACTTGGCACATGATGTTTTATCTAGCCCCCACGCCAATTCGATGAAGCAAGTATCGTCCCATATCAGTGGGGAATAGCCACAACAGGGGTTTCATGCCAGCACTCATGAAGACAGAGCAGGCTCTGACAGCGTTTCTGTTAACACTTAAGGTCGCTGTGAGTCAGAGCGGACTCAAAGGCAACCAAACAATTCCAGTGGGGAGGAGGCAGAGGCTCCGGGGTATGAAGGAACCTGAACATACACAGCAAACAAGAGCTGATCTCAAATCTAGATTGGCCAGGGTCATGTGGCCACACACACACACCTATACGAACTGGCCAGTGACTAAGGTGTCCAGTGAAGATACACAGGAAGGGCCGTTGCTGCTCAGAGCAGGGGAGGTGCCAATGAATTAGGGGCAGGGAGTCCTGGTGTGGTGCTGTGGGTTAATGCACCACACTGCAAAGCCGTTTGAACTGCAAAGTTGGCAATTCAAGCTCACGAGCTGCTCTTTGGAAATGCTATACAGGGACGCTATGGGTCGGAACTGACTTGATGCACTTAACAACAACAACCCTTTCCTGGAGGACACAGGGCTTGGCAGGGTGGGGAGGGAGATCGGTGGGTTTTGAAGCACCTTTTTGTACCTTTGAACTTCCTCCTACCGTGACCCCAGCACTCAGCAGCAGGTCCCCTAAGACTCCTGCTAGCCCCACTTCATGAGGACAGGCAAACCCATTGCCCCTGAATTGGTTCTGAGTCTTGGCACTCTTGCAGAGTTGTGTAAGACTGCTGCACAGGGCTCTAAAAGCGGTAATCATTACAGAAGCAGTAATCATTACAGAATCCAACACAGCAGTGGCTGTACCGTGCTTAATCACTGCACCACCAGGAAAAAGGCCTCTAATTCAAATGGGTCCCTAGTTCACAGATGTGGTCTTTGGAGGGTGTTCACCTTTGATTTTCGGCATTCTAAACTGTCCTCTTATCACCGCTACCCTCTAGTGTGAAGTCAAACACAGGCCTCAGGGGGTTCACTCTGACTGTGGCCTGTGGGCCTAACAAGAGGACAGCCACTCCTGGTCCCCACTCTCTGCTGTTACAGCTCTTTAGCAAAAACAGTCATCTCACGATGTGCTGTAGTCTGGAGAGGAAAAGCCACGCTCTCTGTGACTCCAATTTCAACTCTGTCCCTTCGGTGTCTCAAATTCCTCATTTGTGAAATGGGATTAGCAGTAGCCCCAGCTTCAATGAACATTATGGGTGGTGAGCATGTGACCTGGAGCCAGCTTCATTGTAAGTGCTCACCAGAAGTGTGTCTGATAGTTGCCACTGCTTTTTTGAGTACCTACGATGGGTCACTAGCGTAGTGTAGTGTAGTGGTTACGAATCGGGCTGAGGACTGCAAGGTCAGCAGTTCGAAACTACCTGCTGTTCCCCAGGAGAAAGATGAGGCATTCTGCTCCCGTAAAGATATACAGCCTCGGAAACCCTGTGCAGGGTCGCTATGAGTCAGAATCGACTCCACGGCACATAACAACAAGAAATGATGGGTCAGTTAGGAGCCTTGTGGTGTAGTGGGTTACACATTGGACTGCTAACCACACAGTTAACAGTTCGAGCCCATCACCTGCTTCGTGGAAAGAAATGGGCCTGTCGGCTCCCATAAATAATGATTTACAGCCTCGGAAGCCCTACAGAGTCACTATGAATTGGAACTGAGTCAACAGTACACCACCACATCTATGGCTCAGAGGGCAGTGGAAGTTCAATGATAAAATTCTTGTCTTCCATGCAGGAGACCTGGGTTTGGTTCCTGGACAGTGTACCTCAGCCACAGCCAGGTTTCAGTGGAGCAGCCAGACAGTCGGAAGAAAGGTCTGGCAATCTGTTTCTGGAAACGAGCTACTGAAAACCCCTGTGTATCGCACAGCCCAATCGGCAACCAATTATGTGGGTAGTGCACAAGGTCAGCGGTTCAAACCCACCACTTGTCCCATGGAAACTCTATACAGGGTCGCTATGAGTCAGAATCGACTCGACAGCAGTTAGCAACAACAGCAGGAGTGGGCAGCCTTTGGTTCTCTTGTATGTGGGGTTGGCATGAGTTAGAAGCCAACTCAGACAGTGAACATCACCAGCAACTATGGATCAGCTACCATAAGTACATTTTTGTTTGTTGTGTTGTTAAGACTCATCGAGTGGGTTCAGACTCATAGAGACCCTGTATATGGTTTATGAGAAGCGGCTGGTGAGCTTGAACTGCTGATCTTGCAGTTCACATGACCTTGAAGTCTAGTGCATTAACCAACCCATGGTGCCACACCAGGACTCCATAAGTGCATTACCACATAGCAAGTCCAGCTTGGTTAGACTCGAAAGCGTGGGTTCTTTTTCCACACTACTATGTCTCCCAATGAGACATCTCCTGATGTTCCTTCTCCCAAATGTTCCAGAGGTTAGGTGGATGAGACCTACCCTTGTAGCTAGCCACACTCTCCCTGAGAAAGGATTGCTCCCACTCCAGCGCCCCTCCCCACAGGAGCCCTCAAACCTCCCCACCTGCCCCAGGTGCTTCCTGCCCCCTCTCCCTCAGTGGCAGGACCATTACTATGTAAATGTCTATGCAAATCCGTGGTGTCAGAGCGGCCAGCTCTCTGATGAGGCAGAGCCACCTCCTCAAACCCCACTTTGCGGCCATGATGTCCCAGGCTAGGACAGTCTGCTCCCTGGTCCTCCTCCTACAGGCCCTGACTGGGCTGACTCAGAACTCTGACTTCCACTTGGCCGGGGACTACCTCCTGGGTGGCCTCTTCACTCTCCATGCCAACCTGAAGGGCATCGTCCACCTCAACTACCTGCAGGTGCCCAAGTGCAAGGAGTAAGTCTCCAGTATGAGGCTGGGCATGGTGGCAGGGTGAGGGCTGGTCCTTGGGAGGTCAGACCAGGACCAAGGGCCCAGAACATTTCTCCGGACTCAATGCCAAGGCATGCTCCCCTCCTGGAATCTAGCCCAGCAGTCCCCAGGGAGGCTTCACAGAGATACCAAAATACTTGGTGATCATGTTCGGACCTGGGTGGTGGTTATGTGCCATGGAATTGGTTCCGACTCATAGTGACCCTATACAGGGTTTCCGAGGCTGTAAATCTTTCCGGGAGCAGAAAGCCTCATCTTTATCCCGCGGAACAGCTGGTAGTTTCGAACTGTTGAGCTTGCGGTTTGCAGCCCAATTCATAACCACTATGCTACCAGAGCTCCTTTATTAGAGCCTAGAGAATCTTAAAGATCATCTTTCCCCTTTAGCAACTGGGGGCTCCCAGTGAGTCCAATGCAAAGTCCAGCCTAGAAAGTCGGTCTTCTGCTTTTAGGAGGCAGAATGTCATTTCGGGTTACAGATTTTCTTGCTGCATTCTGCTTGGTTTTAGACTAGAGGGGAAGAGTTACTTTATTTTATTATTATTCCTATTATTCTGAGGACTGTGAGTAGGTAGGGGTGCTTCCAGGATTGGAGGGGATCTTCTCTGTCCCCTTCCCACATCTCATAACGTGTTTTTTTAAGAAACTTTTATTGTGTGTTGATTGAGTGAAGGCTTACAGGGCAGATCACCAGTTTTGCATTCAGCAAATCACTGTAATGATTACAATCGCCTCCATACACCCTTGTTGTTGTTAAGTGCCGTCGAGTCGGTTCCGACCCATAGCGACCCTGAATAGGGTTTCCGAGGCTGTAAATCTTTACGGGAGCAGATCGCCTCATCTTTCTCCCGCGGAGCAGCTGGTAGTTTCGAACTGCTGACCTTCCGGTTCGCAGCCCGATTCGTAATCACTACGCTACCAGAGTTTTAGCCAACAGTATTTACCGCTATTATCTTTTTTTGTTGTACACATACCATATTGTAAATATATATTTGTTTAAATATCCAAAGGGCACATTTTGCAAGCCAGCCTCCTGCCTGCAGGCACACTGCCTTTCTTCGTCCATGGGCCCAGAGTTCTCGGCTGCTCTGTCTCTCTGTCTTCACATCTGCCACCATCTCTGTTGTTTCTGCTTTTCTGGTTGGAATCCCTCACTCCTCTCATGTTCCTCCCTTTTGATGGTCCTAGGATCCTCTGTTCCTGAAATGGCATATTAACTGCTTCTGCCTTTTAGTTGTACCTCTTCTACATTTACAGTTGTGACAATCATCATTAGACCTGAAAATAGTTACTCACAATTAAATAATAAAATCCTATCCCCCTCATCACCAGACCCATCTGGACAAGATGAAAAAAAACTATTCGGTAGGGTTTCTGGCTTAGTCCTCTCGTTCTGACACAAAGCACCCTCATGAAAGCTTGTAAGCCAGCCACTTCATGCCTTTATAGCCTGTCTGAAATCTACGTTGCCTGTCCCCATCAACTCAGTCCTTGATCCTTGATATGAAGAATCCTTCCCTATTTGGTTGGAAGTTCTTTGCGGCCTCATCCATTATTAAAGGTCTAGTGGATCGGGTTGTAGCAGTTAATGCTTGCTCCCTGTATCATACTTCTTTATCTTCATCTGGTCAAATTCTGGTTGGCAATCCATTCAAGCTAGAGCCAATGGGTAACTGTAACATTCTTGGGATGGCAGCATCATCTGAGTTGCTGAACATGACCATCTTCATGCATTATGAAGGCCAAGCTTGGGATCATAAAATAGTGACCTTGGTCAGTTTGAACCACAAGATTGGTGGCTCAAACTCACCAGCCACTCCTAGGAAACTCTATACAGGGTCACTATGAGTTGGAACCAACTCCATGGTACTTAACAACAACATCAAAAAGGGATAAAGGCATCCTGTGAGACAGGGAGAAAAGAATCCATTGACATTGAGTCGAGCGTGACTCACAGCGACCCTCTAGGACAGAGTAAACCTTTACAGAAGCTCACTGCTACACCTTTCTCCCCTGGAGTGGCTGGCGAGTTTAAACTGCCGGACTTTAACTTAACAGTCAAGTGCTTGACTACCATGCCATCAGGTATCCTTGGAGAAAAGAAGGAAGGTACAAAAGGTGATAGATTGTTGGTTATAAAAAGTGCACCATTTATATGATGTTGGTGCAGAACGGTGAGGGGGCTGATGCTGGTGTTGATACAGAACATGATGTTAGCAAGGATGAGCTGATGCCTGCAATAATACCAAGGACTCTAATGAAGGTACCAATGGTGGTGGGAATGATGGCATTTGTCTGATCTGCTGTTGTTTGGTGCCGTCTAGTCAGTAGCGACTCATAGCGACCCTATATACAACAGAACAAAATACTGCCCGGTCCTGTGCCTGTCACAATCATTGTCACAATCATTGTCACAATCATTGTCACAATCATTGTCACAATCATTGCTATGCCTGAGCCCATTGCTGCCCTGGTACCAATCCATTTCATTGGGGGTCTTCCTCTTTTTCTATGACCCTTCTCTTTACCAAACATGATATCTTTCTCCAGGTACTGGTCCCTCCTGATAATATGTCTGAAGTATGAGAGATGAAGTTTGACCATGCTGGCTTCCAAGGAGCACTCTGGTTGTATTTCTTGCAACCAGATCTGTTTGTTCTTTTGGAAGTGTATGGTACTTTTAATATTCTCTTCCAATATCATAACTCAAATGCATCAGTTTTCTATGGTCTTCCTTATCCTTTGTCCGAATTTCACATGCATATGAGGTTATTGAAAATACCATGACTTAGGTCAGACTCACCTTACTCCTCAAACTCTTTAAACACTCTAACTTTAAGGTGCTCTTCAACACTTTAAAGAGATCTTACGCAGCAGATTTGCCTAATACAATACGTCGTTTGATTTCTTGACTGCTGCTTCCATGAGTGTTGATGGTTGATCCTAGCAAAATGAAGTCTTTGACAACTTGAATTTTTTCTCCCCTTATATGGATGTTGTTTATTGGTCCAGTGGTGAGGATTTCACAGTATAAGAGGCTAGAAGTCCAAAATCAAGGTGTCTGCTCTAGGAAAAGACTCTGGGGAACAGTCCTTGTCTCCTTTCAACACCTACGGGCCCAGTGTTCCTTAGTGATCTACATTTGTCTTGGCATCAAGATTCCCTGAATCTAGGAGGTTTTCAGCACAGAGACCCTTGAGCCAAAGGATGCACTCTGCTTGAGACTCATCTTCTTTGGTGGTCGTCAAGTCCCTGTGATCTCTGTTTGCTTGTTTATTTTATGTTTCAAAAGAGATTGACCAAAGATGCAACCTACTTTTGTAGATTGTGGAGTACTGGTGTGGCACTGTAGGATAAACACTAGACCGTAGGTTGATCTGAACCACAAGGTGGCGGTTCAGACTAACCAACTGCTCCTTAGAAACCTTATACAGGGTCCCTGTGAGTCAGAACCAACTCAGCGGCACTTAACAATAACAACAATCCTGCCTTCTTGACATAACTGCCGCTAATTCTGCCTTATTTACATCAAAGACTTGAACATTTCAACACGTAAGATAATTTTACCAGATCACAGGATGGAAGAGAATTCCTTAATCCTGGGACTCATGGCCTAGAATCATCATCATGATGTGTAATTTTAGGGGACACAATTCAACCCACAGCAGTTGTGATGCTGGTAATGTTGACAACAGTAGTTGTGGTGATAACAAAAGGGTGAAGAGTGTGATAGGGATGGTGGAGGTGGTGATGTGTTAGTGGTAGTGGTGATGGTGGTAATGATGGTGATGGTGGTGATAGTGATTGTGTGCCCTTGTGGTCACAGGGATGTGATGCTTGTAATGACCGTGGTGGTAATGCTGGTCATAGGAGTAGTGGATGATGATGGTGATGGTGAGGTGGTGATGGTGATGGTTATAGTGGGTAATGATGGTCACAGAGATGTGGTGAGATTAGTGGGGTAATGATGGAAGTCACAGGGCTGGTGATGATAGCAGTGGTAGCCGTGATGGTGGTCACAAATGTCATGATGTCAGTGGTGGCCATAATGATCCCATCCTAGAGATGGGATGCAGTGACAATAATGTGGTAAAAATGGCAGCCAGAATCTTCTAGAGCAGATCATTCTTGGACAATGCTTTGGCTTTCCTGTGGCAGGCAGGATGAGTAGGTTGACTCTTCAGCCTCCTCCCGTCCTCACTCTGTACCTGCTTCTTGCCTCACCCCTCTAGGTATGAAATGAAGGTGCTGGGCTACAACCTCATGCAGGCCATGCGCTTTGCGGTGGAAGAGATTAACAATGACAGCTGGCTGCTGCCAGACGTGCGGCTGGGTTATGAGATGGTGGATGTCTGCTACATCTCCAACAACATCCAGCCTGTGCTCTACTTCCTGTCGCATGATGACTACTTCTTGCCCATCCAGGATGACTACAGCAGCTATGTGCCCCGTGTGGTGGCTATCATTGGCCCCGACAACTCTGAGTCTACCAGTACTGTGGCCAACTTCCTCTCCCTGTTTCTCCTTCCACAGGTGAGGCTCTGGATCATGGGAGACAGGTCTGGGGAGTGGGCTGAGTGGTAGTTATTCAGAAGGCCCACTTCTTCCCAGCAATCTTAAAGGATGGTGATGGTGAGAACAGAGGCAAGATCAGGACATTGACCCCAACCCCTGGTCTCCTTCCCTCATCCTGGAAAGGCAGCTGAGTCTATTGGTTAAGGGTGCAGGCTTTGGAAGCAGACAGACCTGGGTGTGCATCTTGACTCTTAAGCCTTATCCAACTCTCTTAACTCTGAGCCTCAAACTCCACCCCCTTGCCCTGTAAAGTGAAATGAGAGTTCCATCACAGGACTGTCTGAAGATGAAAATATTCCAGCTACTTAAGAGTTCCTAGCACACTGTTGTTGTTGTTATTGTGAGGTGCCATTGAGTTGGTTCTGACTCATAGTGACCCTAATGAAAAACAGAATGAAACACTGCCCAGTCTTGTGCCATCTTCACAATTGCTGTTACGAGTGAGTTTGTTGCTGCTGCCACTGTGCCATTCCAGCTCATTGGGAGGCTTCTTCTTCACCTGGTAAATGTCCCAAGCCTGAGAGACCATCCTGGCTTCTAAGGAGCATTCTAGCTATACTTCTTCCAAGACAGATTTATTTGATTTTCCGAGAATCTAGAGTACTTTCGATGTTCTTCTCCAATACCATAACTCAACTGCATCAATTCTTCTATGGTTTTCCCTATTCATTGTCCAAATTTCACATGCATACGAGGCTACTGAAAATGCCATGGCTTGGGTCAGGCATAATTTTGCCCTCAAACTGACAACTTTGCTCGTCAACACTTTAAAGAGATCTTGTGCAACCGATTTGCCTAATGCATTGTAGTTTAATTTCTTGGCCGCTGCTTTCATGAGTGTTGATTGTGGATTTATGCAAAATGAAGTCTTTAGTGAGCACCTCTTGTGATATATCAATTTGCTGAAAGATTTCAATTTGTATTCTGTCAGTTTTTCACCAGTGCCTTCAGTGCACCTTGCACTTGTTCCTTCAGTAGTACCACTGGCTCTTGATCATATGCTACCTCTTGAAATAGTTGAACATCGTCCATTTCTTTTTGGTGCAGTGACTCTGTATATTCTATCTCTCTTCTTTTGAGTCTTTCTGCATCATTCAATATTTTGCCCATAGAATCCTTCAATATTTCAAGTTGAGGCTTGAATTGTTCTTCAGTTTGTTCAGCTTGAGAAATGCACATTTCATGATCACATTTGACTTTGTCTTCTCCAGCTGTCCTTTGAACATCTCTGTTTATTTCAATAACTTTCTCATTTCTTCTATTTACTTTAGCATCCCTACACTGGAGAGCAAATTTCACTCTCTCTGTCATCTCTATTTTGGTCTTTTCTCTTTTTTCTGGCTTTTTAATGACCATTTGCTTACTTACTGTATGATATTCTTTACATCATTCCACAGCTCTTCCATTCTTCAGTTATCAGTGTCTAATGCTTCAAATCTGTTCTTGAAATGGTCTCTAAATTAAGGTGGGATATGTTCAAGGTCATATTTGGCTCTGATAGACTTGTTTTAATTTTCTTCAGCTTCAGCCTGAATTTGCATATGAGCAATTGATGATCTGTTCCACAGTTGGTCCCTGACCTGGTTTTGGCAGATGATATTAAGTTTTTCCACCATATCACCCCACAGATGTAGTCAATTTGGTTTCTGTGTATTCTGTCTAGTGAGATCCATGTATATAGTCACGTTTTATGTTGTTTCAAAAAGGTATTTGCAATGAAGAAGTCATTGGTCCTACGAGTTTCTATCATGTGATCTCCAGCATCATTTCTATCACCAAGGCCATATTTGTTTCCAACCTTTGTATTTCATTCACCAGTAATTATCAGCACAACTTGATTAAATGCTCAATCATTGAAGAAGTTGGTAGAATTCTTCAATTTCATCGTCACTGGCTTTAGTGGTTGGTGTGTACATTTGAATAATAGTGGTATTAACTGGTCTTCCTTGTAGGCGTGTGGATATTATCCTATCACAGACAACAACTTTGTACTTCAAGATAGATATTGCAATGTTCTTTGTGATGATGATACATGCGATGCCATTCTTCTTCAATTAGTCATTCCCGGCATAGTAAACCATGTACTTGTCAGATTCAGAATAACCAATACCAGGCCATTTTGGCTCATTAATGCCTAGAATATTGATTTTTATGCATCCCATTGCATTTTTGACAACTTCCAATTTTCCAAGATTCATACTTCATACATTCCACGTCTGATTATTTTGGATGTTTGCAGCTGTTTCTTCACATTTTGAGTTGTGCCCCACCAGCAAATGAAGGTCCTGAAAGCTTTCCTCCATTTGCGTCATCACAGTCCACTACTTTGAGGAGGCAGCTCTTCCTCAGTCTTACTTTGAGTGCCTTGCAACCAGAGGGGCTCATCTTCTGGTACTATGTCCCACAGTTTGTTGTTTTTCTAAAGTGCCATCTAGTCAGTTCTGACCCATAGCATCCCTGTATAAGGTTTCCAAGGAGTGATTGATGAGCTTGACCCACTGACCTTGTAGTTCAAACCGACTTTGCAGTCCAGTGCATTAACTCACAGTGCCACACCACAATATTCTGGTGTTATTTGTAATGTTTCCAATGTAGCACACTGTAGGTAGTCAATAATGGTTGTTATATAAAGTATCTTACACAGGTCAGCAGTTCGAAACTACCAATGGTTCCTTGGGAGAAAGATGAGGCTTTCTGCTCCCATAAAGATCTGCAGCCTCGGAAACCCTGTACAGGGTTGCTATGAGTCAGAACTGACTCCATGGCACATAACCACTACCTCACCAGCCAAGGGTCTTGGGGATGCTGTGGGTTAATGTGCTGGACTGCAAGGTCGGTTTGAACTGTAAGGTCGGTGGTTCAAGCTCACCAGCTGCTCCTCGGAAACCCTATACAGGGTCGCTATGAGTCAGAACCGACTCCATGGCTTTTAACAGTGACAACAGTCAAGAATCTTCCACACAGGATCCTCAATAAGTGTTGATAGATAGTGTTGTGAAAGCAGCTAAGCCAGGGCTTGGCCCAAAGGGGGTACTCACTACATGTTAGTGGCATTGTTTTACTATACTCCAGTTTGTTGTTGTTAAGTGCCATTGAGTTGGTACTGGCTCATAGTGACCCTATGCACTGCAGAAGGAAACAATGGCCAGCACTGTGCCATCCTCACAATCGTAGCTACATTTGAGCCCATTGCTGTTGCCACTTTGCCAACCCATCTCGCTGGGGGTCTATTTTATTTCAGTAAAGTATAGTTTAGTGCTATTCATTTTTTTTTCAAATTGTGCTAAATATATGGTGATATTAGATAAGTACTGGGCTTCTAACTACAAGGCTGGCGATCCAAACCCACAGTTGCTCCTCGGAGAGTGGGGTCTCTCTGAGTCGGAACTAACAACAGATATAGGTAATAAAACACCATTTCTTCAGTCTGCAAATGTATAATTCAGTGATTGTTCATCTTTACATTGCCAGCCCAGAGCATGGCACACAATAGGTACTTTATTATTTGTAGATGATGGATTTGGAGTTGATGTTGCCCAAAGCCTGGCATACACTAGGTTCCTACTAAATGTTAGTGACATGTTGATTAGCACTATAAATCACTTAGTTCAGGGCCTGACTCACAGTTGTTGTTAAGTGCCCTCCAGTGGGCTCTGATTCATAGTGACCCTGTATAGGGTTTCTGGGAGTGGCTGGTGGGTTTGAACTGTTGATCTCGTGGTTAGCAGTCCAATGCTTATCCCACAGTGCCACACCAGGACTCCAGGAGATAGTAGGTCCTCACTAAATGTATTCACAGTGAGGACTGGCACTTGTGCTCTGCCTCTGTCAGCCCCTGGAGCCCCTCAGTGTATGTTCCCTGCTAAATCTCACTAGCAGGATGATGGCAGGTGGGAGCCCCCAGGCCATGCACTTGGTGGGACCCATGCTAATGCGCCAGCCCCCTTCCTCTGGCAGATCACCTACAGTGCCATCAGCGATGAACTGCGTGACAAGCAGCGCTTCCCCACGGTGCTGCGAACAGTGCCGAGCGCTGAACATCAGATCAAGGCCATGGTACTGTTCATGGTGCGGTACGGCTGGAACTGGGTCATCATGCTGGTGAGCAGCGACGACTACGGTCAAGAGAATGGCCATCTGCTCAGAGAACAGCTGGCGGGCCAGGGCATCTGCATCGCCTTCCAGGAGACGCTGCCCAGGCTGCAGCCCAGCCTGACGGAGGCAGAGCATGAGCGCTTGGCTGCCATCGTGCACAAGCTGCAGGAGAGCAAGGCGCGCGTGGTAGTCTTGCTGTCGCTTGACCTGGCCCTGCATCACTTCTTCCACGAGGTGCTGCGCCAGAACCTCACGGGCATCGTGTGGATCGCTTCCGAGTCCTGGGCCATCGACCCGGTCCTGCACAACCTCACCGAGTTGCGGCACATGGGCACCTTCCTGGGCGTCACCACCCAGAGCGTGCCCATCCCGCGCTTCAGTGAGTTCCGCGTTCGCCAAGCTTACTACGGGCCACCTGCGCCCAACAAGACCAGCCCACCAGCTACCTGCAACCAGGAGTGCCACACCTGCCTGGACGCCGCCAAGTCCTTTAACACCATCCTCACGCTCTCAGGCGAGCGCGTGGTCTACAACGTGTACTCAGCCGTTTACGTGGTGGCTCACGCCTTGCACAGTCTCCTGAGATGCAATGAGACCCGCTGCTCCAAGGAGGTGGTGTACCCTTGGAAGGTGAGGGTCGGGCCTGCCCTAAGCGGGGACACATGCGCAGGTGCAGACTCTGTGATTGCTATGGGATGGTAGAAGGCACCCCCTCTGTTAGTGGGTTCTGGGTAAACAGTGTGATAAACCAGGGGACCATCTCGTGCTTCCATCCCTTGTTTATAGAACCAGAAGCCCTTCTTGGTGTCCAAGCAAAACTCCTTTTAGTAACCAATTGTCACAGTCCCAAAGAGTCTATCCTTAGAGATTCAGGTGAGATGCCCTTGAAGGATGTGGTGGAAGCCTCCATCTCTCCAGGATCAGGCTCTAGGAATGGACTTGTGTTTTCCCATCTACCTCTTTGAGGTCCTGCTTCAGATTTACAGATCTCTCATTGCCCCTTGAACACTGTCACGGTTGAAATGTTGTCCCTGAAACAGTGTTAACTCTCCTTCCAAAGAATTGAGAAGGCATGACACACTTACTCCAGGCAAAAGAAGTTGGAAAGACAAGAGGTTTAGGGAAAAGTAAGATAGAGATATTCTTACAGAGAACAGGCCCCAATACAATTTGGCTTCTTCTTTATAAACCCCTTTGCCAGGGGAGTGGGCCATGAGTGCCCAGGGAAATGGTCTGTAGACGTTTCCTTGAATCCTGTTTCCTCAGGCTTCAGGTTATCACTAACTAACTTTGTTTTTCTTATGTTGGTTTCCCCTTTCACCTACCCCTCTTAACTAACTTTATTTCTCCTTACAATAGTTTCTTCTGTGTCCTACTCCTTGGTTGTTGCTGTTAAGTGCTGCTGAGTCGGATTCAACTCATAAAGACCCTGTATAGGGTTTCCAAGGAGCAGCTGGTGAGTTTGAACCACCCACCTTGTGGTTCAAACCTACTTTTCGGTTCAGTGCTTTATCCCACAGCTCCACAGCTCCTTAGCTAACTTCATTTCCTCTTGCAAACAATCTTCACTTTCCCACTCTTTTCAGAAAATTCCTTCTTGCTGAGGTTGTTTTTTTCCCTGTGTAGACAGGCCATACCTAGTTCTAACTACCTAGTAAACTAACCTAATTTTACATCACCTTGATTCAGACTCAAGTCCTGGAATGTGCAAATGGTAACACTTCACTGTTAATAGAAAGGTTAGAGGCTTGAGTCTCCTCAGAGGCACTCTAGAAGAAGCCACTGAAAGCCCTATGGAAGTCACCACAAGTCACTGATCTCCGCAGCAACTGGTTGGTTTTGATGCAGACCTGTAACTTAAATCTGTGTTTTTCTGACTCTCTCACACACATACACACATAAGTACTACTCACATGAAGACTCCAGAGGTATAGAAAATTTTACTGAACCTCAAAGAAGTAAAAGGGATTCACATCAGAGACTTACAGTTTATACTTAGATATTAGACATGTCGACTCTTGAACAGGAGTGGCGCTGTGGGATAATGCATCAAACTGCAAAGTCATTTGAACTGCAAGGTTGGTGGTTCAAGCTCATCAGCTTCTCCTTGGAAACCCTATACAGGGTCACTATGGGTTGGAATCTACTCAGTGGCACTTAACAACAACTCTTTTTTTTCTTCTTAAATGATTTATTGTGAATTAAGTGATAGTTTACATAGGAGAACATTAGTTTTACATTCATTCTATCGTATATCGTCTCATTGCCATGGTTACAATCCCCTTCATGCAATCCTTCCCCCATGCCCCCCAGGTCTTCAGCACACAGTCGCTCTCCCTCTCTGGGTCTAAAGTCTCCAGCTGCTCCATCGCTCCACATCATCATCTCTGGCTCCATTTCAGGCATCACTGCTTCTCTGGGTAGGGTCCCACTCTCTGCTCTTCTCCCTTGATGGTCCTAGGGACCTCCACTCCTAGACTGAAAAGTTAATCACTCCCCTCCTTGCTATAAAACATCTACTTTTACATTTCCAACCCTCACAATCAGTCCTGATAACAATTATTCACTATTGTATCACAAGAGACCCATCTGCATTTCATTGCATCAGCCCCGCCTAGACAGATTGAATACCACTCACTGGAGATTCTACCTTCCTCCAGGCCCTCTGGGTCTAGGTTCCCTCTTGAAACCTTGTAAGCCAGTCACTTCTTGCCTTTGTAGCCCCCCGCCCCCCATTTTGGGTAGCCAATGTCCAAGTTTCCCATCCCTGTCCACTCTGTGTTAACAACAACTCTTGAACAGTTCCTTGCCTTTTTTTTCAGTTTGGAGTCAGCCTCCCACTCTACTGTCCAACCACCCTCCAACTCCTGCTCATGTTCCCTCTTTAGTCTCCCCTTCTGCCCCTTTTCTAGACCCTACCATCTTCAAGTACCTAGTTGCGTACTTCACAGAGCAATTTCATTCAGTCTTTGAAAAAAAAAATCTATTTATCTATACCTTGTTACTGTGTTGTTTGTTGTTAGGTGCCGTCAAGTCCGTTCCAGCTCATAGCAACCCTTTTACAATAGAATGAAACACTGCCCAGTCCTGCATTATCCTTACCATTGTTAGATTTGAGCTCATTACTGCTGCCACTGCGCCAGTCCATCTTGTTGGGGTCTTCCTCTTTTTCACGGACCCTCCACTTTACCAAGCATGGTTTGCCCAAAGTCACACAGCAATTCAAGGATAGAACTAGGGATGAAATTCAGGCCAGAGGATACAAATGAAAGAGACAGGGGACTCTGGGCCACAAACTGGGTCCCAAAGGGATGGCTGAAGCGACTTTCAGGGAAAGAAAACTATTAACTTCTGCTGATGTAAATGCTTACTATTTTTCAGCTACAGTTCTCATTACCTAGTATATATATATTTATTTATTTTCCAAAGCCCAGATGATATGTTTGTTTGTTTTTCCCCACACTCACTTAGCAGCAGAAGAAATGGGGGCTTACAAAGGTTAAGTGACAGACTCAAATTCTCACAATGCTAGGAAGTGGTAGAACTAAGACCCAAACCCAGATGTGTCTGATCATAAAGCCAGAGCCCTCAGCAAACTGTAACATTTTTGAAGACTTCTTGTGCCTATCTTACAGATGTGCAAACTGAGTCTTGGGGGACAGTAGAGTTTCTCTCAAATATGACCAGCCTATACTACCAATCCACTTCCCTTCAGCTACTTCAAGAGATCTGGAAGGTCAACTTTACCCTCCTGGGCCACCAAATCTTCTTCGACCAACAGGGAGACCTGTCCCTGGGCCTGGAGATCATCCAGTGGTGCTGGAACCTGAGCCAGAACCCCTTCCAGACCATTGCTTTCTACCACCCAGTGCAGGGGCAGCTGCGGAACATGGCCCCCATCTTCTGGAACACCGCCAACAACACGGTCAGCTCTTAGAGGGACTGGTGGGTGGGCAGGCCTGGGGACTGGGCATCGGGGATCGTGCTGGGTGGCAAGAACCCTTTTTAACAAGGAGGACACCCAGAAGCTATTGTTGCTAGCTGGTAGGGTCTCTACGTGCAGGTGTATAGTCTGGGGTTTAACCCTTCCTCCTTTGATTGAAGACTGTGGAAGTTCAAGACTTTCTGGACCCCCAGGACAGAGGGGCTAAGAGATAAGTAAACATCTACTGAACACGGTTGTGCCAGGTCCTCTGCTAAGAAACTCAATCCCCATAGTAATTCTTTGAGAGAGATGCTACCATTCTCCCCATTGCATGGATTAGGAAGCTGAAGGCACAGAGAAGTTGTGTGACCTGCCTAAGACCACACAGCCTTTAGCCACTGTCACAGGATGGAGAGTTTGCTGTGGGGGGTCCAGGGAAAAAACAATGGCTAAGTTGTTGTTGTCGTTGAGTGCTGTCGAGTCAACTCCGACCCATAGCAACCCTGCATAAAGTTTCCAAGAGCAGCTGGTGAGCTTGAACCACCGACCTTGAAGTTCAAATGACTTTGCAGTTTAGCGCATTATATTTTGCTTTTACTTTGTGCCAAGCCCTGGTCTCTGTGTTTACTTGTATATGCTCGTTGGTAGCCCTTTGAGTTGGGACCATTATTGCTCGGGTTTTGCAGACAAGGGCCCCCAGGTGCAGAGGTGAAGTTACTTCAGAAGGCCATGGAGCTAGGAAATGGCAGAGCAGGAGTGTGAGCCCCTAGCTCTGACCCCTGGGCACAGGTTGCTCCTTTTTTCACTGCTTCAGGCCAAGAGGCGTGAGGTGAGAAGGGCATGTTCTATTTTGAATTACGTTGGTGTTCTGTTGAAACAGGGACCTAGGGTACCCCGCAGGTAAACTGCAGGTGCTTAAAATGTGTGTAGGATGCAGAATATGCTCCTTATAGCAAAATATCACAAAGAGCTGTCTTCATGTCCCTCTTTTCTTCTGGGAAACAGAAATTCAAGAATTTATCTTTTTTTAAAAAAAAAAA